GAAGCCTGTACCCATTTCAGGGAGCCTTGAGAGGGGCCTGAATCACTGATGGAATTGGACAGTGCATGGAGATGGTTGAGCAGGACGAGGGTAAGTGCAGGGGCATGGCCAGGTCCTACTGGGAGACAGTGAGCGGCCCTGACGGGGACAGACAAAGATAAAATCAAAAGTGTGTGCTTCAGTGAAAAAATTCAAACCAATAACTAGTTTGCTTTCATAAGCAATAAGTATTTTTCTATTTACATGAGAATTTAATCTCAAAACAGAAGTTATAAAAATAGTAAGTCCAGGGCATAAAACCTAAACTATAGCTCATATTAATTCTTTCTAAATAGAGCTATTAGTGAAATCTTCTTCATAAAACATGTATTGTGGATATAAGAAGGCCAAAGTTGGCCAGGTGCGGTGGCTTGCGCCTGTCGTCCTAGCACTTTGGGAGGCCGAGGTGGGTGGATCACGAGGCCAAGATATGGAGACCATCCTGGCCAACATGATGAAACCCTGTCTCTACTAAAAACACAAAAATTAGCCGGGCGTGGTGGCACATGCCTGTAGTCCCAGCTACTTGGGAGACTGAGACAGGAGAATCGCTTGAACCCGGTAGGCAGAGGTTGCAGTGAACCGAGATTGCACCACTGCATTTCAGCCTGGTGACAGCAAGACTCTGTCTCAAAATAAAAAAGAAAGAAAGAAAAAAAAGCAAAAGTCTTAGAATCATTGGCCTTCCATAGAAGAGAGAATTAAATACAGTCAAGGGAAGACTCAAGTCTCATACTTCTCTTGTATATTCCAAAGGTCCAGGGAAATTCCACATCTAATTCCATGGAAGATAGAGGGTATTTTCCACGCTCTTAAAGCAAAGTTGCAGACACTTCTGACTTTTGATTCTAATATCTTAGGAGGGCACACCTCTGTCCTGGAAAATGATACAGGAATGAATACTCTTCCTGTGACTCATTCTGGTCGTTTGTCCAGCATCACAGAAACCAAAAACTGGAAATCTGGGCAAATTCATGATTTGCTAGCCCTCTTGTTCAGGTTTCTTACCTGATTCTTAGGAGAACAGCATTACCTTGAGGATGATGATGAAGATATGCTGTCCAAATATGTGCAGAGTTTTAAGCAAAATGCCTGGTACAAATTGGTCAACAAATAATTACTGAATAATTATATGAATATTTTCTGAATGACATGGATCCTATGAATAATTATGGAATAATTGTTGTGATTGCTTTTATTGGCAGTGCTCAAGGGCTCTTCTGGGACTAAACTGACATCCTTAAGTGACAAGAATGAGATGTAGTGTTCAGTCACATTAAAAAACACATCATCCCATATAAAGGAAGCTTTGGAT